CAGGGGAGGGGCGAGGTGGGGGAGGGGCGGGGGTCGCGGACCTCGCGCGCGTTCTCCTGCCCCACGAGCCCGGCGCCCGCGGGCTTGGCGGCGCCGCTGTCGTCCAGGCCGAGCCCCTTGACATGGCTGTGCGCCGCGATGCGCTGCGTCTTCGACGTGCTCTTCACCTCCTCGATCTTCATGGCGACAACAGCGGCGGCGGCGACGGTTCCCACGCGGCCCGCGCGTTACCTAGGCGGCCGGCGCTACGGTCCCGGCCCCGCCCCCCGCGCCGCCATTGGGTTCCTCTGCGCCAGCGTGGCTGCTAATTGGGGCTTGCTCGCATCTGTCACAACGCGGGGTTGTTTTTCCTTAGAACCCGCCCATCCACTTCCGCTTGTGCGTTGTTTAAAAGGGTCCGCGCCACCCCCTTGCTCTGCACGGGGTGGCCGGAGAAGGAAGGTTCTGCGGGACATTAAAGGCCACTGCCTCATAACCCGGGGGAGCGCCTTGTGTCTTGTTGGTTGGAGGGGGAGTGGGGTCAGGGCAGGTCCATGCAGCTTTCACTGGCAGTGACCGAGAGCCCCTCTCCTCTGTCCCCAAACAGTTATTTTGGTTCTCAGGCTCAGCTGCTGCATGCAGCAGGGGTGGTAAAGCTGTCTTTCTGGCTCCTGTCCCCTGGAAGGGCCTTTGGTTTTGTGGTTATTGACTTCTTTGATGTTTTTGTTTTATTCCTTGCTGTGTTTCCATGATGACTTATCCATGGAACTGGGAAACTAATCATCCTGCTGCCCCTCTCCCTCTTCAAACTGAGTGAAGAGCTGAGGTACTGACCTGACCCAGCAATGGTCCCAGTAAGCGATGCCGTGTGGATGCCAAGTCCAGCCCCTTTCTGGAGCTTGGTGTTAGCAACTAAAGGAAGAACTGAAGTGGGGCTTCATTTCTTTCCACTTACAACATAAGAACCGCTGTTTTTGTTTCCTCATGCGGGAGGGCTGCCCTGATACTGCTGTCCAAAAAGGGGGACTCCTGTGATCTGAGCAAGTGGCACCCAGTCTCGCTCCTCTGTATGACTAAGGTCATAACAAAAGTCATCTTGCTGTGCCTGAGGTCTGTTTCACCTCAACCAGATATACAGTTGCAGGGTGCTCCATCTTTGACAGCTTGTACCTGGGTGTGAGACCTCCTTGAGCTTGCTCGCAGGGACAGCCTGTCATTTGCCCTCCTTTCCCTTGACCAGAAAAAGGTGTTTGACAAGGTGGATCACAGGTACCTCACAAGCACGCTGAGGACATTTGGCTCTGGTCTCTGCTTCGTGTGGTTTCTCTAGGTGCTGTATGCCTCCACAGAGTGGATGGTCAGGCTTGATAGGACACTGACAGAGTCCACAGTGGGGAAAGCATCAGGGTTGCCCATTGCCAGCCCAGCTCTATGTCATTGCCTTTGAGCTGTTCCTCTGCCTGTTGCTCAAGCAGGTGGTAGGGCTGGTGCTTGAGGAGCTGGCCATGAGAGTGGTTCTGTCACCATATGCCAACAACATGATCTTCACTGTCCAGGATGTGGGTGACCTGGTACATCTGGAGACCTGCAGATACATATACTCAGCTGCCTCCTCTGGGTCAACTGGGTCAAGAGCTCTGGTCTGACAGTGAGTGACAGGTGGCAGGTGAGCTTGCTCCCACCTGCGCTCCAATACATCCAATGGAGTGTGGGCTCACTCCTCCATCTGGAGACCTGACACAAGCTGGAGATCAGGGCGTTTGAGCAGCTGCAGGCATGGGCAGGACTGTTACAGTGTCTCTCCCTTCATGGGAGAACACTAATCATCAACCAGCTAATCCTGTTCATGCTCTGGCATCATTTCAACACCCTGGCCATGCCCCCAGATCTCCTGGCCAGTCTCCAGAGATGGGCACTGGGTTTCTTCTGGCTGGGACATCACTGGTTCTTTGCAGGTGTCCTGAGACACCCCATGCAGGAGGACATGAATGGCCTGGTCTGCCTCTGCAACCAGGTCCACACCTTCTGCCTTCAGGCCTTGCAGAGGCTCCTGTACAGTGCAAGTAGCCAGGCAATGTGGTGCCTGATCGGCTGTGCTTTCCTCCACTGCCTCTGAGGGTAGTGGTGTGACTGACAGCTCTTCTCCCTGTGAGATTTCCCCAAGCAGGATCTGGAGGAGCTTGCCAGACTTCTACCAGTACCTCCTTAGGGCCTAGAGGCTGTTGTTCTGGGTCCCCAGACACAGTAACCCAGGGCGTTGACCTCCTCACCGAGACCCTGCTGAAAAACCTTCAGCTGATGGTGCTGGTGACAGAGGTGCCCTAGGTGCACTGGAGGGTGGTTCTGGCCAACATCACTCTTGTTGGAGACCTTGGGTGGGGCTGGGTTTGCTCAATTGGGCCCAGTTCTGTTCAATGTCTTCCTCAATGACCTGGAAGATGGCACAGAGTGCACCCTCAGCAAATTTGCAGATGACATCGAGCTCTGGGGAGTAGTAGATATGCTGGAGGGTAGGGCTAGGATTCAGAGTGAAATAGACAAATTGGAGGATTGAGCCAAAAGGAATCTCATGAGGTTCAGCAAGGACAAGTGCAAAATCCTGCACTTAGGACGGAACAATCCTGTGCACTAGTATAGGTTGGGGGCTGACTGGATGGGCAGCAGCTCTGCAGAAAAGGATCTGCGGGTTACAGTGAACGATAAGCTGAATATGAGTCAGCAGTGTGCCCTAGCTGCCAAGAAGGCTAATAGCATACTGGTCTGCATTGGTAGGTGTATTGCCAGTAGGTCAAGGGAAATGATTATTCCTCTCTATTCAGCACTGGTGAGGCCACATCTGGAGTACTGTGTTCAGTTTTGGGCCCCCCACTACAGAAAGGATTCATAGATGTTTGGGTCAGAAGGGACATTAGCAGATCATCGAGTCTGACCCTCTGCCCTGGGCAGGAAAGAGTGCTGGGGTCAGATGACCCTAGCCAGGTGCATGTCTAGCCTCCTCTTAAAGACCCCCAAAGTACGGGAGAGCACCATCTCCCTTGGAAGCCCATTCCAGATCCTGGCAACCCTTACTGTAAAGTTTTTCTTGATGTCTAACCTAAATCTGCTGTCCTGCATGTAGACAAATTGGAGAGAGTCCAGTGGAGGGTGACAAAAAATGGTGAGAGAGCTGGGGGACATGATTTATGAGGAAAGACTGGGGGAACCAGGCTTATTTAATCTAGAAAAGAGGAGACTGAGAGAAGACTTAATAGCAGTCTTCAACTACCTGAAGTGGGGTTTGAAAGAGGATGGACCTAGGCTATTCTCAGTGGTAGCAGAAGACAGAACAAGAAGCAACAGTCTCAAGTTGCAGCAAGGGAAGTTTAGGTTAGATATTAGGAAGAATTTTCTCACTAGGAGGGTGATAAAACACTGGAATGGGTTACCCAGCAAGGTGGTGGAAGCTCCATATTTGGGGGTTCTCATACCCCGGCTAGACAAAGCTTTGGCTGGAATAATTTAGTTGGGGCTGGTCCTGCTTGAGCAGGGGGTTGAACTAGATGACCTGAGGTCCCTTCCAACCCCAACTTTCTATGATTCTACCTCTTCCACTGTGCCAGGCAGGGGAGGGCAGATCCTTCTGCGCTGGCCCGGTGCATAGAGCTGCCCACACTGTGTGCTCCCTTTCGCTTATTCCAGGAGGTAAAGGCTGCACTACCACCCACTGCCTTCACCTGTATTGACAGATCCTGTATGAGGACAGTCCCCATCCACCAGTATCCCCCAGCACTCTGGAGCCAGTTTTGGGGCACTGCCTCAGCAGACTCCATGACACTCCCCACCCAACCATTGTAGCAGTCTGGGGGATATCAAGCCAGTCCACCTCCAAACAATTCACTGCTGCCAGCTCTACATGGTCATGCTGTGCTCAATCCATCATCCTGTCCTCATGTCCTGCCCTGACAAGTGGTGGGACACCCTAGATGATGACACGAGCAGAGCTGAGGGTCCTCAGTGGACAAGTCTGTATTCTATCTTGATTCCACAAGTCACCGGGGATCTCAGCTGGCAGCTTCTCTATGAAGCCATCACCATGGGCACGTATTTGGTGCACTTTACAGACACCCCTGACACCTGCCCCTTTTGCCTGCAGAGGGAGACCAGGGCGCATGCCTACCTCGAGTGTGCCAGGTTGCAGCCCCTCCTCTGCCTCCTTTAGAACCTCCTGCTGAGGTTCTGGCTGCACTTCTCCCTGCACATTTTTTGTTATGTACTCTGTGTCCACAGCCCCACTAAGCTCTGGGATATCTTGGTCAACTTCCTCCTGGCTCTGGCCAAGCTGGCCATATACAAGACCAAGAAGGAGGCTCTGGCTGAGGGAAACCTGAGTGAGTGTAGGGCTGTCCTCCTGTCACTCCTCTGCTTACATCTCTTGGCAGTTTCACTGGTTGGCATCCACAGGCTTCCTTGACTGATTCAGGGGGCAGTAGGCACTGGCTGGGCTGCTCTGCTTGGTGTCCCCTTCTGGATCCCTTGTTATTAACCTATAAACTCACTCCCCTTCTTGTTGTTTTTATTTGCCCCAAGAAATTAGTTTATTAGTGGCCTCCCTCATTAAGGGATGCTTATAGTTTCATAGTTGTTAGGGGCTGAAAGGGACCTTGCAGATCATCGGGTCCACCCCCCACTGCACATGGACAGGAAGGTGGGCATCAAGACATTTTCTAAAGATTGCCAGGATGGATGACTACCACTTCTGGGGGAAGCCTGTTCCAAACCCTGGATGCTCAGCTTGTAAAGAAGTTTTTCCTTATGCTGAGCCTGCAGCGCTCTTCAATCAGTTTATGCCCATTATTTCTTGTCCTCCCCTGGGGAGTGTTGGTGAATAGATGTTCCCCCAAACCTTGGTGTATGCCCCTGATATATTTATAGGCTGCAACCAAGTCCCCTCTGAGTCTTCTCTTCTCCAGGCTGAACAATCCCAAGTCCCTCAGCCTCTCCTCATATGTCTTGTTCTCCAGGCCTCTAATCATGCATGTGGCCCTCCTCTGGACTCTCTTGAGCTTCTCCGCATCCTTCTTGAAGTGTGGCATCCAGAACTGGACACAGTACTCCAGTTGTGGTCTTGCCACAGCCAAGTAGAGTGGGAGATTAACATCCTTTGCCTTGCTCGAGATGCCTTGGTGGATGCATGCCAGTGTTTGGTTAGTTCTGCCAGCTACAGCATCGCATTGATGGCCATGAACACTGTGGGCCCCTGGAGGCTGGTGGAACATGGCAAGCTCTTGCAGGCGGTGGC